GTTGTTTTTAAGGCAACGAAATAATTCTGCAATGATTACATTAATTACGCGTATAAATCATGTTTAGCATTGAAACATATACACTTGCACAATTGTTAGACTCCTTGGTCCGTGTTTCAAGACGAGTGAGATAAGAAAGTACTTTCTAAAAGCAACGTAAAAAAGGGGAAATATATATGAACTATATTGTAGTGCCTCTTTTTTTATACCTCAGCAAATGATAATAGTTAATTATAAGTGCAAACTATGTAAATCTTATCATGAGAGAAAAGATTTATTAAAATATAATATATATATATTATCACTAATTATCTATATTTTACAAAGCCCACCCCGCATAACTATATCAATTCGCTGATGCTTTTTTTTTAAAAGGAGTGAAGATTAATAGATAAGAACACTCTAACTAGAGAAGGGAACTCTAACTAGAGACAAAATTCTAATTCGAGAAGGATACTCTAACTAGAGAAGGGAACTCTAACTAGAGAAACAACTCTAACTATTATCCAACCCACTTCTATTTTTCCTCTCTTATTTCGTTCCATCTTAACGATTTCAGGTACTATTTAATTCTCATTCCTGAGTGCTATTTCATCTTTCCCTCACGGTACTTGTATGCTATCGGTCTCTTACTAATATTTAGCTTTATGTGAAATGTATCACACGAAATATTTATACTCCAATCTCAAAGAGTACGACTCTATATAAACTATATCTTTTAGGAGCATTTTTTACTTACAATTCGTTACATTTACGGGACTTTCACCCTCTATGGAAAAGCATTCCTGCTTATTTCAATGTAACATTTTTGTAAAACACTACAAAAAGAATATTGTTTAATAACCAGACATTTCCCAACAATCAATGTTCAGGATTAAACTGATGAGCTTTGATTCTTGTTCACTCGCCGTTACTAAAGAAATCATTGTTATTTTCTTTTCTTCCGCTTAATTATATGCTTAAATTCGGCGGATCTGCTCTTCTAACACAAAAAAAATATAGCATTATACAAAAAAGATAAATTGATACATATATTTTTAACAAATTCCTAATTTTTTTAGTTTTTTAAGTCTTTCAACTTACACGGAACACAAATTTTCAACAAAATATCACTGTTTACAAATTCCTTATATAGCCACTCCCCGGGCGAAAAACTAAAGAAAAAAAAAAAACTGTTAAAAATATATGGTTAACTATCAATTGTTAATAAATGACGTCGTAAAAAAGCCCGTCGAATGCAATATATGCCTCTTCATACACAAAAAATAAAACATCTAAGTGCACAAATTACATACTATCATTTATTAACATACCCCACACATAGGATAACCCATAAATAACACTTTTTAATAGAACATTCTGTAAGCAAAAAATATAATTTATAACCAAATAGGTCAGTATTTATAATGTGCGTTTACAATTACTTATACTATATTTAAATACGAGTCTACCTTGTTTATATACTCCTTTCCATAAATGGCTTTCCATAAATGGCTTTCCATAAATGGAAAAATTAATTTTTTTTAAAAATCAGATCACGCAAAAAAATGCCGAAACAAAAAAATTGTGTGAAGTTAGACGAACTATATCATACCAACTGTTTCTGATCAAAAAAAAAAATTAACTTAAATCTAATCGTTTTATAGTTAAAATAAAGTAAGATCAATAAATAAAACTGCTGAATTTACCAGATCAATCGATAGGTCTTATCAATAATCTATCACTTATTAAAATATATAAGTTACTATATTTTTAATACGAGTCTACTTATTTTATTTACTTTCTTACA